AGAGTTAGGTAAATGGTATTCTATACATAGAGTTGATTGTATAGAAGATACATTGATTTTTCTGGTGTGATTTAGTAGGAAAGTTATTTATGCTCATGGATAATTCAGCACAGGGGCAGAAATTCATGGATAATTCAGCAGCTAATGGATGATTTTAAGCTCAAGGGGCTGTCACATACCATAAATCCAGCAAGAATCGGAGTTGTGACTTGGGGAGGCCGGCGAGAAGTGCAGAAAATTCATGGGAAACTACCAAAAATTGGAGAACCCAAGGGAAATTAGTGTTAACCCAAGCCAATTCAAAGAAGAACAGAGGGATTGGTAGCTGTTTCTTACCCAAAACCGGAGCAAATCACCCCCCACAAAGTAGGAGCAGCCGGCGGAAGGACAGAGCAAAGCAGGGCAGATTCGAAAATTCTACAGGGGGGGAAGATTTCAAGGCTCCAAATCTGGTTTTTGGACAAGAAAGAAGGAGGAATTTAAGGCTTCCTACCGGTTTTCTCAAGGCATGGCTGGGTTCCCTTTTTTTTTTTCTTCGAGTGGCTGCAGCAGGGTCGGGAAGAGCAGAAGCACGCAGGGAAGAAGAAAGAGGAAAAAGGAGAAAAAATATCAACCATCCTTATCCAATTTTCTACCCTTTTAAGTCCTTCAACTTTGGACATTTTGGCTAATAAGCCCCAAAACAAACTTTTCTCACAATTTAATCCTTAACTTAATGCTAAAATATCACAAAATTTTGGGGTATTACATCCACCCCTCCTAAAAAGGAGTTTTGTCCCCAAAACTCAAATTGGGGATCATTTCGAGTGGTGAATGGCTACACACAATCCGAGACAAAATAAATGCCTTACCAACTCTTTATGAACAGAACATGTCCTACTACGCTTCCACTGCGCCACTCTGATATCAACCCACAACTAATCTTAAAAGCAGAACACTAACTACTGAACAGGATTTACCATGAAATAAGCTACTAGAGGCTGGGGTGATATGGAAAGCACAAGGAATAAAAATAAATCTTGCCAAATCCACAAAAGAACAATTGTGGGGTTACGCTACGAACCCAACACAAGACGAGTTGACAAAGAATGGCATGGAGTTAAAAACGAGTACAACAAAACTTTGAACTCTATCAAAGACGAATAAGCATTCAATGGATATACGAATCATGAATGAATGAACAAGTGCATGGATGCCTTATAAATTTTGCCACAACAAGGTTAACCAATAAGCAAGGTCATGTTTAACAAAGCAATTAGAATCAAGAGACAGATTTTTAGCAATTAACAAGAGTTAAAAGCCAGGCCCATCAAATGACATGTGAAATTTCCAGAATAGCATCAAAATGAAAACAATGGAAAATATGAATGCTTGGAAGAATACTGGAACATAAGAGTGCAAGGTAGAATGCCTCAAAAAATTCAACAACAAAATGGCATTCACCAAGAATCAAGATCAAATTTAACCAAGCAGTCAAAATTGAAAGACAAGAGTTAACCATGAAACAAGCAATAGAATTCAAGGATTAGACCCATAAAGAGATTTCAATAATGACAATGAGAACAAGGATTCAAGAGCAGATATAACCAGGATGTCAAGATCTAGCACCCCAAGTACAAAAATTAATTAACAAAATAATCAATAGTGGGGATCAAGATACTTAGAAGATTACCCCTTCACCTCGTAGCCCATGGAGGCTAAGCAAATTTACAACCAAGTCATCCTAGAGTCAAGTCAAAGCTAAGACATCAAGGATACAAAGATTAACACTTGCAAGAGACAAGAATGAGGATGCCTCATATAGGTATCTTCTAACAATCATCACCCCTCCTAAAGAGGTGTCCATATGAACAAAATCAAAAGTAAAGAAGATCAAGAAGTATACTAAAACAAGAACTAACAGATTATGCAGGATTTGAGCAAGAGTAGTATACAAAATTTGAGCAAGAACCAGTGTTAGAACAAGAATGGTTTTCAAGGACAATTCAAAATAGATTCCAGGAACAACACAAGAATTAATTTCAGACAAGTATTAAGATAATGAGGATTTCAATAATCATTATTCATTTCCTTTGGATTTCAGTTTCAAGAACAAGTACAACGCAATATCAAGAAAGATTCAAGATGGATTTCAAGAGTTTCAAGCAATTTTAACGGACATCAAGAATGTAAAGATTAGCAACAATAGAGAGTTTAACTTTATGACAATTTGCCAATCTTCACAAAAACAAGGCAATTTCAATTGAATTGATCACTGTTTTTGAGTAACCAATATAGAAAAATGAGTCACATGAAAAGACCATGAAGCTCCAAATGGAAAGGTAAACCTTCACTATAAGACCTTTAGAAAGATAATGAGTCGCGAAATTACCAAGTTATCCAACTCCTAAAACGCATCTAGAAAACACACAACATTTGCTAAAATAGCCTTGAATCTTTTACAAAGTAGAGGGTTGCCCATCTTCTACTAGTTATGTGACAAACAGAACAAATTCCTCAACCAGCTATGCTATAGAGACCAACAGGATCAATAACAAAAGATCTCCACGACTCTCCAGATTCTACAATTGTGGCAAAATAGCATACAAAAATTCTATTCACGTAACAAGTCTAAACAAATGCAGACTAAAATGACCAAGTTTCAAAACAAGGTCTTAAGAACATGGTGGACAAGATTAATTTCATGAATCTGCACAAGGTATCAAGGCAGGAAACAAGAACAATCTGATCACCATCTCATCAAAATGGATTAGAAAATTTAGACAACATGAATCAGAATCGTCCCTTATATAACCCCATCACTCATCTCTCCACGGTTCTAAAATCAATTGACCAGCCAAGTCCAAAACAAATCTTAGGTATTCAATTAAACCTAAGCTCGATACCACTCAATCTGCTCTGATGCCACTCAAACTGGAAGTGCTTAATTTAATCCTAAACTCTTAATTTAACCTTGCTCTAATACCACTAAATCTGTCACGTCCCAGAACCCGAATCCGGGGACGTGGTAGACGCCATGCACTTGTGAGAGGGTCCCACAAATGCACAAGGCTCAGAACTTATCATATTACAATCTGATACCACCAAAATCTGAAGATCAAATCTCTTGTAACTAACAATCCATTCAATGAATTTATAAAATCTCCAATTAAAATCCAGTTTACAAGATCATGATCTACATGTAAAATCTATATCAAATCTCGAAATGGCTAGCCTTCTAACTCGTCACTTCCCGTGGTTTCCCCATCCTCGGTTTCGTTTCCTGAAATGGTAGACAAGGAAAAACTATAAGATAAACTCAGTAAGTAAAATATGGATTGCCCTTAATTAAACGTATAGCATGCCAACAAGTATAATCACAAAAAATGGTTACAGTGCGGGAACGAAATAGATGTCTCCTCTATGGGTCACGGCCAGTGTTATAAACCTCCCACTGGCAGTCTATAGTATTTGCTGGTGTATAATCCCCACTAGCAGGGCAACAAAAACGAACCGGTTCTATCAATAACATGTCGACATGTGCTAGCATTTAACCCCCACTAGTAGGGTTATCAATAACATAACCACATCGGAGACAAAACAGGCAGAAGTTAACAGAAAAATCATAATTCACCAATCACTTTCAAATCATCAGAACAATCAATTAAATTTCAAGTGGGCATGCTCAATTTAATGAAAAACATAAAAATTTCACTTTAAATCAGTCATACTTACTTTTGCATAAAACGGGTTTAGTCCCGCCACCATTTCAAAAACAAGTCAAAACATACTTTTAAAAACTGGACAAGCATTACCATAAATTTACTTATCTCACTCGCATAAAACCGAGCACTCAATTCACATACTAAAGTACCCAAAGGATCAAGAACCTAACCAAAATATCCGAGAATTAATACCGCACTACCATAAATTCAAAGTGAAATCATCATTAGGACTACCCCAATCACGATACTATTTCTGTTAGTCTCCACATGACTAGACCTCTCCAAATTCGTTATTATATCACAAACTAATCATTTAAATCCCCGTTAATTATTGACCCTCGGTGTGTGAACAGTACCCATGAACAGTATCATAAACAGTACTATGACGTGAACAGTAACTCCCACTTCCAAAATTGGCAAAACCATAGCCTATTCTCACGGGATTTTCTCCAAAAATCACATAGCAGTCAATTAACACTCAATCATATAAATTCCACTTGAATTAATGCTTAAATTATCCTACTTGAATTAATGCTTAAATTATCCTAATTACTACCGGAATTTATCCCTTAATTCAACAAAAATATCCGGACAGCACAGGGGTAGAAATTCATGGATAATTCAGCAGCTAATGGATGATTTTAAGCTCAAGGGGCTGTCACATACCATAAATCCAGCAAGAACCGGAGTTGTGACTTGGGGAGGCCGACGGGAAGTGCAGAAAATTCATGGGAAACTACCGAAAATTGGAGAACCCAAGGGAAATCAGTGTTAACCCAAGCCAATTCAAAGAAGAACAGAGGGATTGGTAGCTGTTTCTTACCCAAAACCGGAGCAAATCACCCCCACAAAGCAGGAGCAGCCGGCGGAAGAACAGAGCAAAGCAGGGCAGATCCGAAAATTCTGCAGGGGGGAAGATTTCAAGGCTCCAAATCTGGTTTTTGGACAAGAAAGAAGGAGGAATGTAAGGCTTTCTACCGGTTTTCTCAAGGCATGGCTGGGTTCCCTTTTTTTCTTTTCTTCGGGTGGCTGCAGTAGGGTCGGGAAAAGCAGAAGCACGCGGGAAAGAAGAAAGAGGAAAAAGGAGAAAAAATATCAACCATCCTTATCCAATTTTCTACCCTTTTAAGTCCTTCAACTTTGTACATTTTGGCTAATAAGCCCCAAAACAAACTTTTCTCACAATGTAGTCCTTAACTTAATGCTAAAATATCACAAAATTTAGGGGTATTACATCATTAGTTAGTAAATTTGCAAGGTTGTTCTAATAATTCTAACAAAGTCTAAATGTATTTATTTGGAATATTACGTGCTATTATGGCTTAGAGCATTGGGATTGAGTCCTCGGTTTGTGCGAATGAGGTAAGTAAATTATGGTAACACCTTTCGATTTCAAAGCATGTTTTAAATTGTTTTTGAGATTGTGGCAAGGTTTAAATTGATTTTATTGGTACCAAGCATGATTGGCTTGAAATGAAATTGTTTTCATTTGCATTAAGTAGAGCATGCCTACTTGGAATTTGCTTAACTGCCCTGATGATTTGAGATTTTTTGTAAATTCTGATTTTTCTGTTAAATCCATACCCACATGGAATTTTTCTGGTTTATTCTGAAATTTAAGATTGATTGTGAATTACGGGTTTTTCTGTAAATCCTGCATGGTTTTGTCTCTGATATGGTCATGTTTACCGTGCCCACTAGTGGGAGGTTTATAAACATTAGCACATGTCGACATGTTTACTGATAGGACCGGTTCATTCTGTAATCCTGCCAATGGAATAATACATTGGTTATTACTGAAATCCTACCAATGGGATAAAACATTGGTTACTACTGTGCCCGCTAGTGGGAGGTTTATAAATGCTGACCATGACCTATAGATGAGACTACTATTGAATTTTCTTCTACATTAACGGTTTGTCATTGAACGCTTGTTTATTGAACTGAATCTGATTCTGCATTAACGGTTTATCATTGAACGTTTTGTTATGTTAAATTGTTTATCAGGCATGCTAAAATTTTACTCACGGGCTATCCATATTTACTTACTGAGTTATCTCATAGTCTTGCCTTGTCCACCATTTCAGGAAGTGAAGTGAAGGACAGGGAAAAACGAGGGGAGTGACGAGTTAGAAGGCTAGCCATTTTGTAAATTGAACATGGATTTTAGATATAGATCATGATCTTGTAAGCTAGATTTTAATTGGAG